GTGGTGAGGGGGACAGGTTTCAGGGGCACACAGATTGCCTCCCCCACTGCCAGCCCCCTAACACATGCCCCACACTGCCTCTCCCCCATTGCTCCCTCCACTGCCTGATTTCTTATGGGTTCACCACTGGCGCCCCCACTGCCTGCCCCATTACCACTCCCCCACTGCTAGCTATACCACGTGCCTCTCCCACTGTCTGTGCCCCCAGTGCCTAACCCATTACCATCTCTCCACCGTCTGTCCACCCACTGCCTGCCCCATTACCTCCTCCTCATTGCCTCTCCCCCCCACTGCCTGTAGTAGTAGGTGTGTGGGGGGGTGAATTTAAGATGATCCTCCAATAATTAAATTCTATATATAGAACATTATAATACATTTATAAATTGTATGTGTATAGAATCCAATTACTGGTGGAGAATCATCTTAAATTCAGGTCATCTTGTAGTCATGTAACTATGGTATTGTATAAATTACAGGTGGTATCTTTACAAAAACAATTTAAATATCAGAAGAGATTCTGTTCTTGGTTTATAAGCGGTAAATGTTAAGGTTTTCAAGATTTCCAAAGGGAAGCCAAAACAAACTATTCTTTTCTTCTGCCATAAAATATTAACTTAAAGTAGACAGTTAGAAGTATGGTTATTAATTATGCTTAAGCCATCTAATATTTGTCCCATAGTATTCTGATGTAGACTTGGATTTTAAAGTGACTATAAAGGAAGTGTTTTATTAATTTCAATCCCATTGATTAGTTTTTCATCATTTGTAAGGTCATACTTAGATGCTAAATAAAGGTGTAGTTGAAACTGATCTTGTTGTGAGTTTTTTAAAAGTCACAATGAAATTCTAAACTTTTTCTATTTGTAGCAAAACTGTATTCTAAAAATAAAGCCCAAGTTATATTAAGTGCCCAGCAATTAGGAAAATCAAGCCCATAAAATGTAGGAGAACTTTGGTTTTAATAAGTTCTGAAGATACCTTATTATCTATCTTACAATGGTAGGAGCTGGGCTGGGACCTGTCTGTGCTAGGTGCATCAGCAATTCCTTGATGCAAGGAGGACAGTCTTCTTTTAATTAGGGAGGCATTGGGGAATCCAGAGATGGCTGAAGAGGCCAGTCCAAGAGTTGCATGTTTGACTACAGTCATGGCAAACAGTTCCAGGAGGAAGGAATAAGTTCTGGTAATACAGAATCACAGCTCTTTTTCTATGTCTCTCTAGTCTATCTGCCTCCACAGTGAGGCAAGTTTGCTCAAAATGATTGATACCTTGCCATACGGTACCATGGGGAGTGATTCAGTGCTCAAATCTCCCAAATATTGATATAAATATCACATTTTTTCAGATTGGCCTTCAAGGTGTCATTGACTCTCTTCTTTTGACCACCTCTACAGTGTTGACCATTGGTGAGTTGGGAGTATATGACCTGTTTCAGTAGTCAGCTGTCAGGCAACCTTGTGACATGCCATGTCCAAAAAAGCTGGTGCCACATAAACATGGTCTCAATGCTGGTGGTGTTTGTTTGAGCCAGAATATTAGTGTTAAGTTTTTTTTTTTTTCCTTCCAATTGATGTGGAGGATGTTCTGAAGACATTGCTGATGGTAATGACTGAAAGCGGCCCTCTAGTTGTAATATGCAGAGGAGCAGCTGCCTGGGTTAAGGTGGATTGGTAAAGTGTTTTTGTTTTTGTGAAGTTGACAGTGAATGCAAGCGATTTATATACTTCACAGAAGCAACCAAGAGTGACCTGGAACTCTTCAATTTAATGGGCATACACAACACAATCGTCAGCATATTGAAAATCAACAGTGGAGGTGCTAGTTGTCTTGGATTTGGAATGTAACTGACTGATATTCCCATCCATGCGATATTGGATGCTGACTCTAGATGGAAGCCAATCAGCAGTGAGATGCAAAATAGCTGAGACATAGATGGAAAAGAGTGTTGGTGCAATCATACTCCTTCCTTGACTCCAATTTTAATAATGAAGGGAGCATTTTCAAGCCATTGCTTAACTCAGCTGCTGTCATATCATCATGAAGGAGTCTGATGATAACAAATTTTAAGAGGTATCCAAATCTCAAGCATCTTCTATATGGTGTCTCTGTTGAATGAATCAAAGACCTTAGTCAGGTCAATGAAGACCATGTAAAGATCTTGCTGTTGCTTGTGGTACTTTGCTTGCAGTTGGCTAGCAACAAAAGTCATACCTATTATACCTCTGAGTGAGGAACGCAAGTGAGTACATCTCAGTGAGGAAGGCGAGTCTGTTGAGGAAAAAGTGTGTGAGGATATTCCCAGCTATGGACAACAGCACAATACCACAATAACCAGGATAATTGCTGCAATCTATCTTCTTTCTTGAAGATGGTAATGATTGTGGCATCTCTTAGGTCACTGGGAATCTGTTCATGTTTCCAGATTTTCAGAAGAATAATTTGTAGTTGATGAGAGAGCTCTTGACCTTGGCCCCATGGGTAAACCTACCAGGAGTACAAAACTTGAGTGCAGGGCCTCTTGGGGTCATTGGTAGCACACAAGCCTCTATGTAACATCAAGGTTGCGATTCATGGAAGAGGAGTGCTAGGTACACAACAAATCAGAAAACATCTGCCTTCCCTCAGAACTAAAAATATTACAACACAATTTTAACAATCTGAATATATACCAAGAAGGTGGGAGAAAGAGTCTATTATTATCTTTGTTTTACAGATAGGAAAAGGTCATATACTTTCTACTCCCTGCACAATATATGTGGAAGATCTGGTTATTCAACTCAGTTTCTTTCATCATTGGGAAGTAGTACAGCCACAAAAATCCTTTTCAACCCTTGGGTTAATAAATTAGTGGCTTTCTACATCTTAATTCTGACAAATGGTACAAATTTTCCATTTTAGGTTGGTTATGTCTCTTCTGTAACAACTGATGTGTAGAAATTCTGAACTGAAAAAGGAATACTATGATTAAATGTATTCTGTCCCTTATATTATATTTGCCCATCCATTTGCCCATTTATAGTTGCCTATGAATTTTCAGGAAAATATTATATTTTTTCATATTCAAGAAGAGAAAATTCATATTGCATGTAAATAGTGATGTGCCTCACCTCATTTTAAATTTCAGTAATTGAATGAGAAACAGGAAAGTCTATTGAAAGAATTGTATGCTGGTCAAAGACTAATGAGGATTCTTTTCTGAGTCTGAGTCACTGGGTGTCATGGTAACAATGCATTATTGAAATCTGATTAGTATGCCCAGAGGCTTTATAAATGATAGCATGTTCTTCTAATTATGCTCTCTTTTCTCAGGAAAGAGTTTTATGTTCATAAGAGATGAGAGGATGCCATCATTTTCCTTATCTATAAATCAGATATCAATGTCCTGTGTGCTCACCAATTCTACAACACAAGCTATCAATCAATGAAAAAATATTTCTGCTCCCTTAAAGAAAATGGAAACTTCCCATTTCTCTTTTTCCACAGATTTTACTGTGTTTTTAATTTCTTTGAATCTGCATAAGTGTCAGGGGCATCTTGCAACACAGAGTATTGTTTCTAAGAATATAACTGTAAACGTAGGTGTTCTGCAGTACTGACACCATATTTAGGGTCCAATTTTGTACGCCTCATAGATTCCAAATTCCAAGGATAAAAAAAATAATCAATGAAAGCTGTGGGTGCTTAAACAAAGGCAGATCTAGGATTCCACTTGCCATTGTACTCAGTTTCACATCAATCCAGGAAAGCACTGGTAAGCATCTACCTATAGTAAAATTCCACCCCAAATGAGAGAACACTTCTTCACCGAAGCCTACAGTTGTGTAGATGTTGGTATAGGTGTATTAGACTGAATGATGAAGGATCCTATGTTAAGACAGTAAATGCCTTGGAATTAATTCAACTCTCCTTCTTCCTCTCACCCAAAGACAATATAGATGATGTGTTGCAATTAATTAATTCATTAAATGCAATATCAGGGGTCTAAATAGGTCTTTTTAAAGATCAAACTTAGGCTGAGGACTCAAATAGGTGCTCACTATATTAAAAACAGAGTCCTACTACAACTGAAAACCCATAAATCTGATGCAAAATCTTTTTAATGCACATAGCTCTAATCCTACCAGATAAAAAACCTACTTTCTCAGAGTAAAATAATTATACTTCTCAATGGGATGTCCACCAAATCCAATTAATTATCAGACTATTTCAGTAACTTATATATGATTATTTCCTGTTCTGAACATCCACTTTTGTTTGCCAAGTCATGATTTGACTTTTGATGAAGGGCAATTGGGAAGCTCACAATCTTGCTCCTTAACTCAACTGGAATATTTTAAATAAAACCAACAACTAATGATTAATAAGAAAATAAACTGCTCTGTATTACTAAAAAATCATGCAAGGCATGCTATGGTGCATGACCACAAACAGAATAAACACAACTAGACCTGAAAAGCTTATTACACCTTGTTAGATGCTCTGGCATGTGGACAAAGTTTGAGATGTACAAAATACCAAAAGCAATCAATCTTAAGTCAACACTGTGAAAGCCAAAGGAACATTTATCTACATGTTTGGAAATTCAGCAGGGAGCACAGGGTTATACTGAGAATAGAAAGTCATCAAAGCAGGCCAGCGAGGGAAGAAAGAGCAAACAAGTACTTCACCAGGAAGGATTAGGGCTGGTTCAGGGTACTGTTTACACTAACCTTGGATGAAAGCAGCAACCAGAAAGCCAATCAGTGTGACCTTCACCTGTCACAATGATGTTCCCATTAGGGAAGGCCCACATCTTCCAGAGGCGGTCATCACTCGCAGTAACTACGATGTCTTTCCGAGGATGCAAAGCAAGACTAGGAAAAGAGAGAGACAGATTGGAACTAGCATCATTTTCCTTGAAAGAAGCATGACTATTTTTAGTAGAAGGCAAGGTTTAAATATTACTGTGATTTTTTGATAGTAAGTACAAATACTGACACTTCCAAAAGCTGCAGGATATACAAATATTTTGCATGTTATTGGCCATAACTTGCTTCTACTGAATTAAATAGCAAAGCTCCATTGGATTCAATAAGATCAGTTCTGGCTTCTAAATCTCAAAGTCCCAGTGTGATAAGCCACATATGTATGATATCACAATTATAAATTATGAATAGGACCCTACCTAATTCACAGGGGTTGCCCCCCTGATTTTGCAGGCAGAATGTAGGTTTGGGTAGCCATTTTGTGGGCAGAATATGGCTGACCCCTCCCCCCCCACACACCTGTGATTGGCCAAGGGGCCCCAGCAGCCCCACCCCTCACCACTGATTGACTGCAGAGGCTGCCTGACATGTGGCCCCACGCATTGCTACTGATTGGCTGCAAGGGCTGTCCTCCATGCAGCCCCATCCCTTGCAGCTGATTGGTGGAGTGGGGTAGGGTCACATGACAGGCAACCCTTGCAGCCAATCACTGGTGAGGGATGTGGGCAGCAGCCATCTTGCTGGCAGCCCGTCAAGCAGGCAGCCCCTCTTTCCCCACTTCCTGACCCTAGCAAGCTACTATAGTGCTTAGTAAGTCTCACCACGGGTTTCAAAGATTCCACAAATTTCGCAGGCAATGCCGGATTTTGTGGAATCTTCAAAATCTGCACAATTGTGAATTATGTAGGTCCCTACTTACGAACCAGCAAAAGCAATCACTAACACTACTCCAGAAAAATAACCTTACAAACCATTAGCTTGCTAGTGTGCCGCAAAACAGAGAGAGAGGGCTAAATGGATTGTCTGCTTGTTTACTAAGCCCATGTGCTTAAGGTCTCCAAAGCACAGGGACAACTAGTTAACTGCGAATTTCACTTTCGTACTCATGCTTTATTATTCGTATGTTAATCGCTATTCATTGCAAATGGGTTATGCTTAACAATTCATTTCAGATAATGCATTCCAGCTATGCTATGTATCCTTTGTTTGTATATTGCAATAATGTAAGTACGCTAGACATGTATGTGCCTATTTCAACTCCAGCCAAACAGTCAAACAATTCAATCTATTTTGAATTTGACCATCATACTAATGGGTAAAATGCACCCATGACAGAAAACACAAGCCTATGAAAATTATCATAATCGCATAATTTTTATATGGGTTTCATTATTCAATATAAATCGTTATAATTGAGTATCAATATTGCACTTGGCCCTGCATCCAATATGGAAGGGACCTATGCCACTCTGAGTAAATTATTTAGGGCCTTATTATATGGTAAATTTGGGCAGGTCCTAGAGCTCTTAACACTTGAATTGTCCACACGTTAACACCTGAAACTAGTTTTAAGCACTTGTTATGTGGATCAAAGATATGCCTCTCCAGGGCAGGATTCTCTGGGTTACACAGTTCCTATTACACTAAGGTAAAGCCACTCTAGGCTACCTTAGTGTAAACACTCATTGCAAGAGATTGGAGGCAGAGTAGAGACTGGGGAAACTTTGGGCGGGCTGGTCCAGTCACTAGGGAAACTCAGCACTGGGCAGATAGCTTGGGCCTGCAACTGTGCTGGCCCCAGCAGCCTTACTTTGGGCCCTGGGAGCCAGGGAAGCTGCAGCCACAGTGTTCCTACAGCTGGGAGCCTGGCCAGCCAGGTTCCGGTTTTGGGCAGCACACACTGCCTCCACATGCACTACCCCACTTTTTTGCCCCCACAGATTTTTTTGACCCCAGAATCTCCCCACCCCCACCCCTGCACTGCAAGGTAGCACCATGGAGAATGCCCAAATGTGCAGTGTGTAGCACTGCAGATGGCTGTACTTGTCTAGATGCAGCCAGGGAGTGCTTAGTTACCACCTATATCTATCTACCAGAGGCATAGCAGAGCAACTTTGCACCCTGGGTAGCGGCTGAGCATCCAGAAGGTCTGGATGCTGTGCTGCCAGCAGTAGCACTTATTTTGTACCACCCACCTTTTTTCCTCTCCTAAAAGGCAGTGCCCAGGGCTGCTGTGGTTGTTCCCTTCCCCAAGTTATGTTACTGCTGTGTACAATGAGAACAAATAAAAAGTTTAAGATGTTCTATTGGCTTAACCTCATCTCTTTGGAACAGAGAAGTTTCTCAGCTATTTGTGGAGGGAGGGTCTAGAGGGTCTGTCTCCCATCCTCCATTTCTGGACACAAATCACAATTGTTCGGCTGACATCCTTTGTTTTCACAGTCACCTCTCCAGGACCCCATACCTCATGGGTTCCCTGCAACTGGACTGGATTGTAATTTGTTCTTTTTACCCATCCTGCCCAGTCACTGGAAGCCATTTTCTTTCCTGTCTGCAAGCCACTGACACACTTCTTTTCAAATCCAGCCTTTAACCTTCCCATCTAGCCTTTATATCATCCTTTCTTCTTTCACTGATTAAGGTTTCTAAAATGCATTGTGCTGCTCTGTAAAAATAAAGAACTTGCTATATTGGAGAAAATAAGATATTGTCATTGGAATAGAACCCACAAAATATGTTTTAGAGACTTTTCTTTTTAATTGCAGAGCTCCTACAAAATGATGTTGCTACCCAAGATTTTTTTTTCATGAAATTGTACAGGCATACAGTGAACACCACTTAATTAACAGCAGACTGGTGAAATAACTGCTGTTGAGCTGCTCATCAAAAAGGGAAGCCCATTCATCCAAAAAAAGTTCCATATGCAACCTTAATTAGGCGGCTCTGCCTTCATTTTTTGGCAACCAGAATTGTATACATTTTTGCTTCATCTTTGTTCATAGGGTCTAATTATTTCCAGCACAGAAGACTTAGGGTGGACTGGAGTGGTAAAAAAACCCCAATGACAGGACATGTGTGATACAAACACTAGCTTTCTCCTCCTCCTCTTCCTCCCCTTACTTTTTGCATTTGTTTGTGGGGGAGGAAATGTCCAGAAGAAGGCAGTGGTGGGAAGATAGCCGGAAACAGAAGAACTCTTAGATATCTGCTGCTAAACTGTGGAAACAGGTGTATTTACATCTTGTTTCAGCATTAGAAGCCATTTAAACTCTTTTGTCCCTTGCTGCAATAGATATATAGTGCTTCTAGTAATTTGGTTTCAGAACATTTATCTATTATATTAATTTATCTTGACTGGACCGTATATACAAATACAGAATCTTAAAACATTGGCAAAAAACTTTTCAAAGTAAGTACATACCACACAAATATACACAAATATAATGTTATTATTGCAAAAATCAAGTAATTAATTCTGGCATTTCCTAACTTTTAAGATCTTTTATTTTAACTTGATTTGACCCCACTTGTGAATTCATTATGCTAGAGCCAGACTATGGAATTCTCAGAGTATTACTTCCATTGAATCCCTTCCTTAATCAGTGCACAAGATAGGCAGTGTTCAGTGAATGGATGGTTAAATTATTAACAACTTTCGTTTCATGCCACATCCCTCTGAGGCAGGGAGGCATGCTTAGGCATGTTTAATTTTACAGATGGAAGACAGCAAGACACAGAGATACTAAGCCAAAAAATATGTATTAATTGTTTGTGCCTGCCATGGGATTCCTTGGATCTAATTATTCAAAGTACTTTAAATTTTTGTAGCATTATTTATGTTCAATGAGCAGCTCTTCAGTAGGAGCACTGAGATCTCCTGGAAATCTGGCCCCAGGTGTTTCAAGGTGAGTACCCAGAAAATATGGAATATAAAGTTAATAATCGTGAAAAGTTTGCTTTATGTGATCATTCTAGCATCACATAGGAAATCTATGTCAGAGCAAAGGATAAACCAGGTTTCCAATGTGGCATTCAAAAGCCTTAACCACAAGGGGAAAAACCCATAATGTTAGTTTTAGATGTTTATTAATAAAATAATAATTTAGTCCTATGATGTTAAGTCATTACAAACTTGTCTTTGCCTTAATGAACTTTAAGATGACTGCAATTATTTTTATACTGAGGACACTTTGAGAAGGTTGTTTTTTCTGGTTGTTTGTTTTATTTGATGAGAATTGCAGGATACTTAAAAAAATGTTCCAGTAGGCTTCTGCTTGTTCTTAGTCCTGAACCAGTCTCTAGTATCAAAAAAGAGATAAACCTGTTGGCAATATCAAACATAGCCCAATTAGTCTTATGCCTAAGGTATCACGATCAAAGGGTAAGTATCACATTTATGCAAAGCCATTCCAAGGAACTTTGTATGTTTATTTGCTATTCAAAAATATAAACAAAGTTGGATTCAGAAGGAGAAGCAATGTAATGTCTACAACCTGAGACGCACTCACTGAAAAGGCCAGAAGGTATTACTGTATCACATAAGGATCTAAAAACTGTGCCTGTTGGAGATGCAAAGACTGAGCCATCAACCTTGGAATCATGGCATCTTAGAGAAGTAGGGCTAGATGGGAACTTCATAGGTCATCTAGTCCAAACCCCTGCCTCAGGCAAGATCATCTCTATCCAAGCCATCCTATGCAAATCCATAATCTAAAACTAACATCAAACCTGACTCAACACAAGACATAACGCCCTAACCTGTCACAGATAAAGCACAGGGATCATGGCAACCAATGCCCCACTCCTGTAAAAGGTGAATATATGCACAAGAGATCCCAGGTAAAAGGCCACAATTCCAGCTACAGAGGAAGGCAAAACTTCTCCCAGTCCAGACCAATTTGACCAATCTGAAAACTCCTTCCTGAACCCAAATATAGTGATTGGGCTGACCCTGAGCTGAGGGGCAAGACCCTCTAGCTAGGAACCCCTGGCTTTAAGTCCTAGAAGAAGGAGGACTGGCATATCCCAATCAAAATCCCCAGCCTTGACTGCAGTCAACACCCAATTCCTCTGAGGAAGGCCAAAGTAAATAAATTAAAAACCCTGAC